AGATGGGCTGCATGAGTGTTTCAGAAACTGCTGATGTGATGGGATTTTCCCACACAAGTGTTTACAGAGAAGAACCATTTAAAGAGAAAACATCCAGTGAGCAGCAGTTATCTGGACCAAAATGACTTGCTGATGCCAGAGGTCAGATGAGACTCATCGGACTGCTTTGAACTGATAGGAAACAGTAACAGTAACATGCAACAGAAACCAAATAACCAGTTGTTATAAGCATATGGTCATGTCTGAATGGAAAAGACACTGAATCTTGAGGCAGATGGACTACAGCAGCAGAACACAATGCAGCATGCCACTCCTGTCAATTACGAACATGAAACCGAGGCTTCAATTCACACCGGCTCACCAAAAATTAGAAGAAAGGAAAACTGTTGCCTGGCCTGGTGTATCCATTTCTGCTGTGACAATTAGATGGTACAGTAAGGATTTGGTATAAACTTTGACAAAACATAAATACATCCTGCCTTGTATCAGAAGCTTAGGCTGCTGGTGGTGTAATGGTGTGGGGGATATTTTCTTGGTGTACCGAGTAATGTTGCTGACCGTGTCCTCATCATGAATACACAGCTGACAAATCTCAAGCTAAAAATAGACCAAAAATCCCAGAGGATCACCTTCCAGCACCTTATTGAATATAAACCATGAAGAATTAAGGCACTTCTGAAGGCAAAAGCACTTCCAACACACTATTATTAAGGGGACCCTACTAAAGTGGCTTATATTAAATGTCACATGTTCATTTAAATTTGCATAAAAAACTCCATGTGATGCTGAGAATCAGCTGCTGACTCAAGCAAACGTGTCATTGCACAGATTCAATAATTCAATCTTTTAGTGAATATATTTCTTATTTTTAAAACTTTGCCCATTTGTCATGTAAAATATGCAGAACAGGATCACTTTTATTTATCCAAACCACAACAAAGAAGCTGCTGTAATCTCCGTAACAGAACTACGGTGTATGTGTTGTATCAATCAACAATCAAAGAAAAGTGAGTATTTCTGGTTTCTTTTCAGAGGAGTAATATAACAAAATGCAGATGAAATAACAGGAACGAGCTGAGGAAATGACCAGCACACCATGTAAAAGTGTGGGTGATACATGCGTGCAAATGTCTTATTTGTATGAATTTGCTTGCCTGCTTGTTTGTGTGTGTGTTTCTGGCTCTCTCTCTGTGTGCGTGTGTGTGTGTACAGTATGTCTACTGAGGAAAGGCAGTTTGACAAGTTAATCCACACTAAACATCCTAATGGGAACATCCCCACAGGCTGCTTCTCTTCTGCTATGGAGATTATTTTTGCATTCCAACTTCCTCCCACTGGGCTTGCTGCCTTTGCCAGAGAGATGGGTGCCAGGCATGACACATACACACCTGACATCTGGTTTGCATGGTATGATGACAGCCCATCAGCACACATTTCAGTTTGTAAAAATAAAAACCTCGACACATTATTTCTCCCTGTATACTAAAGAGAATTATGAGGAATGACTGCGAAGTATTTTCTTAATTATCAGGAGCATAAATATGATCTTATAACTGTCTGGACTCCTTGTTGTCACTTCATCATTAATGCTGCTTCATTCTCACTGCGTCTCACTGCTTTTGACACAGCAAGGCAGCGAATTCTACACATGGGCACAGGTTTTAAAATTTTAATCTGGATCACAGTTTGAAGAGTCACCCTAATGAGCTGGTTGATTGGCCGGCTAGCCACTTTGGTCCAGACTGAACAGGCTCAACAAGTATTGAACAGACTACTGTGAAATGTGGAATTTGGTACAGGCATTTCCCAGGAAATGAATCCTCCTGACTTTGGTGATAATTGGACTTGAGATGTTAAAATAATGATGCATAATTTTTTAACAGGTTTAGATTTTTTCCTAAGCCTACTTTTAAAAAATGAAAAATGAGGAGAATTAATTAAATTACTACTTTACTTTCTGTTTTATTAAATTGAAATCATGATGCGCATGATCACTATTATATAATATAAAGATTAGCCAATTTATCAATTAAAAGAACATTATTGGTCAAGATTTTGACAATTCACGAATCATTTAAATGGTTAAAGAGTGATTTGGGGGCCATAGGCCAAAAAAAATTCATAATAACCTTTCAGCATATTCAAGTAGTCTGAATCATATTCACTCATTTTCATTCAGCTGCCCTAAATGAACAGTATTGTTAATTACCAATTTATTTATGTTCTGTAATGGTTAATCCACCACTATGTGCAAGCTCTTTAATCAAAACATTTTTTTAATGCTAAAATTTAATTAGTGTTGTTATCTATGAATGTTTAAATGTACTATTTTACACAATTGCTGAATTCTACTTCCATTCATACATCAGGCTGCCTACGTATCACACATACTGGACCTGCTTGGCCATGGAAACCCATGCCATGAAGCGCCCAACACCAGAGGAGGTTTGGAGCTCTGCAGTTATTGAGTCAGCAGAGCGTTGGTGACTTTTACGCTCTATGAGACTCAGCACTCAGTGACCCTGCTCAGTAACTTTACGTGATCTGCTGCTTAGTAGTTGAGCTGCTGTGGCTCCTAAAGGCTTCCACTTTGAAATAATACCACTTACAGCTGATGGTGGAATATCTAGAAGGGGCCGAACTAATGGCAACCTATTATAGGACACTGAGTTAGGACAAATGTTTGCAAAGACAGACCGCATGGCTGGATGCTTCGCTTTATATGTGGTGATGGGACTGAAAACACCTGAATGTAAAGATTAAGCATTGTGTGCACAAAAACCCTATTTTTTATTTTATTTTAAAATTTTATCACGTTTGTCTTTCAGATTTCCAACCATTGCAGTTCTAGGTTATTTTTCACAGCCAAATATGAATAAGTGTTCTTAGAGGTGACCCTGAGCTGCACTACACTGCAAGCATTTCACTAGAGTAAAAATTACAGCGTGTGAATCTGAAAAGTTACATGCCCACACCAGTGATTATGTCTGTTCGGACTCTTTGTCATTAAAAAAAGATCAGAGTTCAGAACGTTAAGGACATGGTTCGGCCAGCAGTGATGGTGATGTTTAACCCAGCAGAGGCTGCGACAGGTCAAACCAGCTGTCACTAATTATCAGTTCAAAGAGTAATGAGAGACTAAACACGACGGGCCTTCTGTTGGTTTTTGCAGTCTGTTCTTTGCAGACAAGAGTTTATGAAATAAAAGCTTCTCTTTGCACCACCGCTGTGCAACCAAGAGCATTTCTTCTTTCTCAGAAGCAACGGTGTCATCAACTCTTGATTGCATCGCTTTAGTTTAAGGAGTCACACTCTTCCATTTTCATAACTTATCATTTATTTAAGCTCATCAGTTTGATAGTTTTGGTGCAAAGTCATCAGTATTTTGATCAAGCAGTTCATGAATAATGAGTTGTGAAATATTTAGAGGGCTTTAGCTTAGCTTTAGTTTACTTGAGTTCATTAGATACATATTTAATCAACATTTGGGTAAACATTAAATACATTTAATCAACATTCGGGCAAATATTGTGCCGGAGTGTCAATGTGAGCGACCACGGGAAAGGGATCAGCCTTCAAAAGATTCTTACATCCAGTTATATGTTGTTTACATTTCCCAAGCTTCAAATATCTTCATCATTCACTCTTCTCGGTTTAAATACTTAAATAAATGTCAAAGCAGTATTACAACAATGACAACTATGATTTAGCACAGACACTCACAGCTCCTCACTGTCTCGTTTGAGCTGCTGATAACTGAGATCACTGAGTACGACTCTAGTTCTCATCAGGATTTAATCTCAATACAAACTTCATACGCTGAAAGGGGAGGAAACGTGCACATACATCCCAGCATAATTTATTAATCCACCTGCTTCCCTTCCTTCATCTCAACCTTCTCCATCAATTATTTCACCACTATTCCCGACCTTAAAGTTTAAGGTTAAAGCTGAATTTCAGGTCTCTTATTTTTTACTAATTCAAGCCTGAGACGATGTTCCTTTGTGAACTTGTAGATCTAGTTGACCCCGGGTCTGCTGGGTTTCACTAATTAGGAATAGGTTCAGGTCACACTGACTCTGTCAGCAATTCAAAGGTCAGGAGTGCGTTCCATTTATTGACGCATTAAGCTGGAGGGAGAGATGGAGACTTAAGAGGTCTCAGGGTCCCCAGGAAAGAGGAAAGTAAATCCCCTTCCTCATTACTGTAATGAATCACCTAAACTGCAATGCAAAAAACAATATTCATGAAGTATGAATTAGTTCCTGTCTAACCACAGTGTATTATTGGTCAAGAATAATTACAATTATGTAAATGTAATGGGGATTGACATTTATTTATATATAACTCAAAAAATGAGAAAATTACAGTGAGCAGCAGGGGTTAGCTCTGCTGCTTCACAGCAAGAAGGTCCTGGGTTTGAATACACTGGTCATCCTGAGGCCTGGTTTAAAACTTCTTCCTGTGCCTGTGTGGGTTTTTTTCCGGTACCCCAGCTTTCTCTCACTGTACAGAGACATTGTTAGGTTAACTGGTGATTCTAAATTGACGATAGTTGTGAATCTGAGTGTGAATGGGTGTCCGTCTCTCTGTGTTAGCCCTGTGACAGACTGGTGGCCAGTCCAAAGCGTACTCTGCCTTTTACCCCCTGAGAAGGGCATGAAAGCTGAAGGCTCTGCCTCCCATTCTACTTTTAAATACGCTGAAGAATCACGAGTAAGCCTGCAGTCTGGGAGTGAAGGGCTCTATTGGAGTGATACGGTAGTATGAGGTCTTTAAGATAAGATGATTATAATCCATCATCAATTCTGTTTAATCTCTTATGAAATTATTAATAAATTCATCAATATGCTTTCTCGATAAATAAACTGTATTAATACAGATCCTATTTGCAGGTAGGGTTACATCTGCCTGCTATTATTACCACCACCATTTTAAAAAAGCAAAACAACCAGAATTGGAAAACAAAACGAAAGACCGCCTGAATGAACAGGACTTACCAGCTTGGTGTGTCGTGACGGTCACATTTGCCAGCGAGCGTGCAGTCATACCCAGCCCAGAGACCCCGTTCACAGCCTCAACGTGGAAGGTGTAGTTAGCGAGCATTGCAAAGTCCAGTATTGCTACAGAGGTGCCAGTAATGCCGAGTGGCCGTGGGATAAAGTGCAGGTCAGGCTCGCACGGCTCACACTGTGTCACAGCACCGCTGCTGTCACTCCCACCACAGCGCTGGCACAGTATGTTGTAAGTGATGTCCTTTCTGCCTCCTGTATCACTGGGAGGCATCCACTGCAAGAAGAGAGCTGTGTCATTGATGAGTGAGACCAGGTTCCTGGGAGCTGATGGAGGCCCTGAAAGAGAGAAGAAAAGTATTTAGAGACAGACATTTTTATTTTTTTTTTTGGCGACTGCACTTGCCACTTTTTGAGATGGATATTCTCCAGGACACTTATGCGACCTTGAATATGAAGCAATGGTTGGCACATGATCACCATAATCTGACAAGTTTGCACGCTGAGCATATTTTTATTCCTTAGCATGTGTGTTCAGTGTGTAGGTACAGCAAGTGTGTGGGTGGTTGGCTTTCAACATTTCCGGCTTCATTCCAGCAACTTGTGTCAATTTCCCGGCTAAAATTTCAGGGTTTTTTTTTTTCAGTTTTCACACCTGTACAATAAAAAAAAATCTGAGCTGTTTGAGTGTATCTTCAAATATCTGCATGTAGGCGTGTGAGAGGATAGCTCTCAGAGTGTAAGAGTGTTTCATTCCAGCATGATACTTGTCAGTTTCATCGATACACCGCTCAGAAATGTCCAAACTTGGTGAGCAGAAATTTAAATGTGACTCAATCACACTGTTAAAACTTAAACAGCAAAACGAAACTAAAAAAATAAATAAAACTAGAAACGATGGGGTGAATGTTGGCACAGCAGTCACAAAATTGGATTTCTGCAAGCAGGAAAGAGACGAAAGGTTTTGTAGCTTTCTACTAACTTGTACAAGCCATAGTAGTGGGGTCTTTGAGAGCCCTGTAGAAGCCTTTATCACAGTGACAGATGGTGGCCGCCTGGTCATGGCTAGAGCTGTGTAGAGGACACTTGGAGCATTTAGTGTTTCCAGCATACGCCTTGAAGAAGCCAGGCTTGCAAGCTGGAGAAAAAAGAGATGCAAAGGGTGAGTGCTCCTTATGCAACTGCATTTCCATCAGCGCACATACTCTTAATCGAAACTCCAGCTGCTTCGCTCCTCACCTGTGGTCTGACCTTATTTCCCGAGGTACTATCTGTCACCTTCTTATTAGCTCACTAAGCCACATGTCCTGTAAAGTGGCCCTTCTAAGAAATGGCACACACCTGTAAAGCCATTTCTTTTTTACAGAATAGAGAATCACAAAATCACACAACCACATGGTGAGCTTACAAGGTTTATTAGGCCACCTGTCATAAAAACAAGAAAACGCAAGCGTTCTAGAAATCTGTCAAAAACGAAACTAACCAAATAAATATGTTATTATTTATCAGGCAAATAAACTGAATTCATGTCACGATTCAACTGAATCAGTACTTCAAGTAAATAACAACAACAATAATAATAATAATAATAATAATAATAATAATAACAATGTTTAAAACATTTTTATAAATCTAGATATATTTGGTAATTGCCAGTACTGTTAATTTGGGGCAGCCGTGACAAACCTTACATTGGGCAGTGGTCTAATAAATTTGTTAAGCACTGTATATGACAATATGTTGTTTAAAAACACATTAGCACACAAAGTAAAACACATGCTGATACAGTCCATTCATCTATTATCTTAATCACAATGTTACAAGAGGCTGGAGCTTATCCCAGCGGAAAATGGGCTAAAGGTGAGTCGTAATTATGTCTTCAGACTGTGAGAAGACACAGAAAAATCCAGACACATGTCCTATCCGTGATTAACCTTAGCACATTAATCCAGATATTATTCTGAATGTTTTTCATGCAACACAGTGGCTGATGGTGAACAGTACTCCTGGCAAATGAAGATGAGAGTTACTGTAGGTAGACGTTTGTTAGATGACTGGATATCAGAGAAATATTTCAAAACTAAACAATGCAAGAACACCATGCACTCACTGTGCTGTTTACACTAAATTCTGACTCCACCATCTGAATGTTACAACTCAAACTGAGACTCATCAGACTAGGCAACATTTTTTTCAATCTACTGTTGTCTGGTTTTGTCAGTGTGAATTGTAGCCTCAGTTTTCTGTTCTTAGGTAACAGCAGTGGCATCCAGTGTGGACTTCTGCTGCTGCCGACCATCTGCTTCATATTTGACGTATCGTGTGGTCAGAGATGCTTTTCTGCTCACCTCAGTTATACTGAGAGGTTATTTGAGTTACTCTTGCCTTTATCTGACCTCTGACATCAGCAAGGCTTTTTCATCAGCTACTACTCACTATTTTCTCTTTTTTAAACTATTCCCTATGAAAACTCCAGAGACTGGGAAAATCCCAGTAGATTAGTAGCTTTTGAAATGTTCAGACCAACTCATCTGGCACCAACAATCATGTCACACTCAAAGTCACTTAAATAATAATTCTTCCACACTGTCATGACCATGTTTATATACTTAAATGCGCTGACTTCCTGAGATGATATTTTCCTTAACTTTCAGTTGAACAGGTGTACCTAACAAAGTGGCCAGTGACCATATTTTTTGCTTAAGTCCTTCAAATTGACAAAAAAGGAGTAGTAGCTAAAGGCTAAATAACGATTTTTGGCAGCAATTTGTTTTAATCAGCAGGTTTAACCCAGTTTAAGGTCACTTTGTAGTCTTGCAAGTAGGTAAAAGAGGAGCGATTAACATACGAATAATTCATTATTAAAATGTTAATACAACCTGCTTCCTGCTGAAATCTCAATCCACTTACACAGTCCATTCTGCTGACCGGGTATTTGCAGTTTTCCATCCTTAGACTGCTTCACTTTACCTCCAGTGTTACTTGCCCATTTCTTTCTTTCCATCAACTCACACAACTCTCCTTTCCTTATCTTTTCAATTTTTCTCCCCCCCCCCCCCCCCACACTTTTTCCCTACCAACATTTTCACACTTTTTTTTTTTTTTTTTTTTTTCTTTTTTTTTTTTTTTTTTTCCCCCCCCCCCCCCCCCCCAACTGTTATGCTCTGCAACAATTTTCACCTATTCTTGTTTTTCATCTTTATTCCAATGTATTTTTTTCTTTTCCCATCTCTCGTCTTCTTCGTCGCTCTTTTCCCTCGAGGCTTATCAGAAGATGGAAAAACCACTGCAGATTGCCTCCTTTTCCCCAGACTTATCTTGGCACAGAGGAATAAAGCATTAATAGTGCAGTTATTTAATATTCTGGGAATTTGTGGATGACTTTATTGCCATTTTATTGCAGTTGAGTTGAGTGATTTTTTTCTTTCTTTCGTGAGAATATATATACTTGTGGGTGGAATAATAATTAAAGAAATAGCAAATACTGTATATATACACTGAGAAATTCAATCAAGCCAGAAGGTTTATATAATTTCAGCTTCATTTTAATATCTTAATATATTTTCTGTAAGTAAGCAAAAATACATAGTAGTTAACTAACTTTATTTTTCCGTAATCACATCATCTTCATATATTGTCTAATGCATTAATGCCTCCATTGAAATACACTACCACTTTAAATTCTCTATTGACGCTAGCCTTTTTTAATCATAAGCGTGATAAATGATGTCCTGCTGTGACACAGTCCCCAGCACTGTACAAAGGATGACTGATGGAGGATTATTACTGTTTGAAATCAATTATATTCAATTATTTTTGTGTGTGTATATAGTAATGCTAAGATATAATGTTTCATGAAAGTCATTTTTGCAGTGACACCAAATCTGTTCGTGCAGTTTCTCCAGGATCTACATACATCAGCTTTTCAATACTCAAGAGAGTACTGCGTGACTGAGAAAGAAACTTCCTCCCTCAAGCTAGATTGCTGCTACTTTAGTCAACCTAGTGCTAGAAACTTTCTCACTGATATTATTACACTAGATAAGACAGGAAAAACTGCAGTCTGTCACATAATCTTGGAAAATTAATGTAAAGAGAAGATAACTAGGACTATTTTAAATACAACTCCCCCGTCCTGTTTACCGAACGGAGAAACTGATCTAACTAAACACTAATCTTCAGAGTGGTATTTTTTTGTGAGTGTGGGATAAAATTCATTTCTTCTTCCAAAGAAAACTGAAATTGTATCATAGTATCCCTGCCAGTGTAAGCCTGGCAGGGATACCATGCCAGAGTTGGTACCTCTGCCAAGTCTGGCATGTAAAATTGTAGAACTAGCATAGAAAATAGCCACTTTTATGAGTATATCACATAAATGTTTATCAAAACACCCCAGACACACTACAACTTGACATTTTATGCTCAAACAACCCTGTGCCAAGTGTGGAGTCTTTCAAGTTCCTGTTCACTATTATCTCTCAGGTCCGGAAGTGGGAGCCCAACACCAACTCTATTCAAAAAGTCCCAACAGTTGACGTCCTTTCAGCTGAGGAAGGATGGCCTATCATAGGAGCTACTGATCAAGTTCTACACTGCGGTCATCAAGTCTGTCGTGCGCAGTCTGCTTCAGACACAAAACAGGTTAGTATGACTACCTAGCAGTGTTGGTCAAGTTACTTGAAAAAAGTAATCAGTAACTAATTACTGATTACTTCCCCAAAAAGGTAATCCAGTTACTTTACTGATTACTTATTTTCAAAAGTAATTAATTACTTAGTTACTTAGTTACTTTTTAAAAACACGATTTACAACCTGAAGAGGTGATAAAGCGATAGATCTTTCAGCCCAATTCTACTTTTTCTACATAACCCATCACACAAAATGTAATCAAATGGAAAAGTCTCTTTTTTTTAACTTGTTTTATCAGTTTTAATCTTTTAACTTTATGCATCAAGCAAAAATTTAATTATATGCAACATTCTCTGACTTGAATAAATTAGTTTAACATTTAAACCTATTTTCTGCACATTCCAGCACATAAAATAAAATATTTTTTGTGTTTACACTCACTCTTTCAAATAAGATTGCAAGTAAAACACAACAGAAAATAAATAAAGTCAAAGACTCAGCGGTCCTGTTGCTCTATTTTCACCTGTAAAGCAGGACTGCGGTAGGGGAGGTTTACCCTGGTGCAGGTGTGCCGCGGTCAGTTGAAGAATCCGCGAGTTTGTCGTTGCGCACTCGGTGCTTGCTTGGAAGTTTAGGGGTTTTTTTCGCTGTAAAAAGAAGTTTTCTTCCCACGCACAACGGACACTAATGTTTTTGTCACTTTTTATGGAATCAAACTCAAAGTAAGGTCAGTACTTCCACGCTTTAAACGCTGCACGCTCATACTCTCTCCCACAACTCGATATAGTGATCCATTGTTGATCTGCACACAGCTGTTGTCACTAACGGCGCACTCGCTTACGTCACTGTCGTGAGACATTCTCGCAAAAAATCACGGTTTTAGTAACGCAGTAACGCAGCGTTCCTACGGGAAAGTAACGGTAATCTAATTACCGTTTTTGCAATAGTAATCCCTTACTTTACTCGTTACTTGAAAAAAGTAATCAGATTACAAGTAGTGCTAGTAGTACTAGGTAGCAGAGATGGGCAGTAACGCGTTACTGGGCAGATGGGCAGATGGGCGTTACGCGTTACTTGTAACGCGTTACAAGTAACGCGTAACGCGTTACTGCCCATCTCTGCTACCTAGTACTACTAGCACTACTTTAAACTCTAAAGAATGTAGAGAAAATAACTGGCGTCCCCTTGTCCAGCCTCCAGAACTCCTGAAGAACCAGCGAGCAGGCAGCAAACATGATCAGAAATTCCTCACACTCTGGACACAACGTTTTCAACTCTTCCCCTCCGGCAGGTGTGACAGATCCACCCACACCAGAACAACCAGACTCAGAAACAGCTTCCTTCCCACTGCCATTATCCTCATAAACAACTAAGTTGTACCTATGCCAAGTATTTATTATTAGGTAGTCTAGGTAGTTATTGCATTCTGCTCTGAATCTACAATGACTGTGTTCTACAACAGTTCTACATGTACACAACATTATATTTCACACATAATGCATAATCGTT